CTTTTCAAAAATCACGAAGCAGAGATCCAATACAGCTGTTTAAATTACAGCATTACGTTTTCAAAGATACCACAGGGTATCCAAAATATTATTGTGCAGTGAAAAGTCGGAGCCGTAGTGAGCTGAAAATCTTGTTAGAGGAGCACGGAGAATAGAACCATCATTTTTGGAGAGGTTAACAAATGTTCAATAAAAATGTATTCCTGCTCACAGAAAAAATACAGTTTCAACAATTTTAATGAAATTTCTTATTGAACAAAATTAATTAATACAGCATATGCTACGGTATCTATGATCAGGTGTACTGTAATATAAAATTAATTAGAATCCGGTTGAATGAGTTTGGAACTAAAATTGTGAATACAGCACTAGTGGCATACAACAGCACCGAAATGCGACTAAAACGGACATTTGAAGATTTATTATTTAGCGAATTCATTTTCTCACTGCACGAAAACATTTTGGATATCCCACATTCACCTACGCCGGCAAAAATTTTTGGCATTCAGATTCAGTTCGTTGCGATTTGTTTTTGGGGATCATGAATTATTCCTTTGGACTTTCGGACAATCCACGAGCTACACAAACCTGAGCAAAACAAGATGGCGCCACCATCAACCGTAAGCTACAGAAGAAACTTCAAGGAATTCTCACAACTTCAATTCCGAGCAAGTCGCGCAATTTGGCTGTATACTTGACGAGGATGACGGTGTCTCCAGTTTTCGGAGCCTTTTTCATGGCTGCCGGCGCCGTGGCGCCCAATCGACAACAATGCGCCCGCGCGTGGAAATCTTCCAGGGACAGAGTGAGAAGTTGGGCGCGTTCATCTTCGTCGGCGGCACGCGGACTGCGTTTTCCCGATGATGACGACAGCAATCGGTCCAACTGGTCCTTCGTCTTGAGGTCGAGACGTTGCAGAACTTCTTTCAGCACCAGGAATTTGTCCGCATCATTGAACGTGCTGCTGCTGCCAAATTCTGGAAAACGCAACAAATGGTAACACGTGTGAAGAGATGCGAATGGAAAAGACAGGCGTTGCGCCGCATAAGGGCGATCCAAAAGTTTTCAAACGCAATCGGAAAGAAAGCATAGAAGTACAAGAAGTTCTGCTCATGAAATAAATTTCTAATGTCTGAACAACTTTCATGATTGAAAAATATTCCTGATCTATCTCGAAAGTCAACAATCGAAACCGATGCTTGAAACGACTTCGAAATCGACTGAAAAGTAAAACTAAACCAAAAATAGCTATTTAAAGCCAGAACTAGCTTTTAAAAAAAAGTAGAGAGGACACGATGGGCCTGATAAACCCTCTTCCATCCATATGTAATCATATTCCATTGAAAAATTACGGTATTACTCAACACGGAATCGATCGCCGAAAAAAGACGTGTGACAAAACATTGCTGGGATTTACGTTTGCAACTACTATACATTACAAGATTCAATAATTCAAAATGAAACGTTAACGGAAGATTCGCAGGTCATCCATTGATTGCCCTCTGACACCTATATTTTTTCAAGTGGAAACAGTTCTTATTCTTGGATAATTTCATATTATAGCACCCGAAGTCTATAGCCGAAGTGTCCACCAACCGTTTGTTTTTGAAGAGGGAGCGCCATTCGTGGACGCCGATTTCCCACGCAGGCGTTCCGAACTAATTTGAAAAACGTCGAGAATAGGCGCCGAGCTACATTCAACGTCGAAAGAAAATTCTTCGGTTTCCGACGTTGACGGCACAACGCTGAATATATCACAGCCTGGATTCACCGGA